CCTTTGCCGCCCCTTCACTCCAGTCTGTAGGCTGTTCCCCAATAAACCCTTCCCCTTACTCCGGTGTCCGGTGTGCTTTGTGACGGCTAACATTAAGATATAACAATTGGGGCAGGGCTCTCCAGAGAACCAGGTGTGCTCCCTGCCGCCTGTATCTGAGGCCCTGCACCACTTGAGGCCCTGGGCAGCAGGAAGGCCATCGCCAAGAGCTGGTTCTGGGTCTTGATCAGAAGCATCAGTCAGAATAAACCTCCCTTCTTTAGGACTAACCCAGGCTGTGGCACTGCATCACCAGCGACAGAAAAGAAACCACAGCTACTCTTAGCAAGCGGCTTTCGGTCCACATCCGTAAATGCGCATCCAACACCAAGATGCCCACACCTCTCTCCACATGCACTCTTGGACGCACTTCCTTCACTGTTAACACCCCAGGTCCCGCACAGACGCCGGTTCCCAGGCTCTGGGGCTGACGCACAGACGGCTCTCTGGTTCTCCGACATCCTGCCCTACTCCCTTGAAATTATGCAATTATCACAAACGGGTGTTCAGCCACAACCAGGGACAAGGCCCTGCGACTCCCCAGCCAGGGATTTTACTGCATTTAGTAAATACTGTGCATTAAAAATTGGATAGAAAGTTCCACGATTCAAATTCCATTAAAAATGGAAGAAGCCCAATTGTTCAAAAAAGCTCATTTTCAGGAAGCCAAGAGAACGGGCCTTGCCTGACATAAAGTGTGCACAAACTGTATGAAGGTTTGAAAATGCAGATCTGCCCCAGTATCCATCTACACACCCGCACTTCACCAGCTCTGATTTCACAGGGAAGAGCCCACCCTACCTCAGAGGAGCAAAGTGCCAACACAGGTGCTGATTCGGCTGTTTTACATAACACTGGTTCCATCTTAAGGGTTGGGTGTGGATGGAGTGCTACCCAGTGCCCTAGTAAACTCACTGTCATCCATGTTCCCCTGACTCAAATTCAGTGGTCAAAGGTGGAAGATAAAACATAAATACGTGATCCCATGTGGGACAGAGAAGCACGGAGCCAGAGGACAACTGAATCATGAAGTTCTGTCCTGCACAACTGGTGTAGAGAATGCAGGCTACTGAGGAATCAAAGGGACATGTCCACTTCTGGGCTACTGTCCAGCTGCAGAACCACGGCACAGAGACACGCAAACTCAGCAGGCAGAAGCTATGTGGGCGGGCACAGCCCAAGAATACTCCCACCCATTGTTGTTCATTGGGTGGGCGAATTTCCTTAAAGAAAACATAATTCACATGTCAAGGAGGGGGAGTCTAGAGACTGAGGATTTATGGCCCATTATTTATGGCTCATTATTTTAATCAATAGGGAATGAAGTGGAGGAAAAATTACCTAAACATCATCTGAACTTGAGTCTACCACTTAGAAATTACGCAGTTTCCTTCTTCAAGCTTCCCACGTACTCAACATCCATTAGGCACCATGCATTTCAGCTGTACTGTGTTGCATTTGGCATGCACTGTAGCTGGTTATTCATTCCCCTCCAGGTTAAGGTAGGTAGATTTTTTTTTATTCAACAGGTACAGTTTACAGACAGTGAGAGGGAGAGACAGAGAGAAAGGTCTTCCTTCCATTGGTTCACTCTCCAAATGAATTCCACGGCCAGAGCTGCGCTGATCTGAAGCCAGGAGCCAGGAGTTTCTTCCTGGTCTCCCATGCGGGTGCAGGGCCCAAGCACTTGGGCCAGCCTCCACTGCCCTCCTGGGCCACAGCAGAGAGCTGGACTGGAAGAGGAGCAGCCAGGACTAGAACCCAGCGCCCATATGGGATGGCAGTGCCGCAGGCGGAGGATTAACCAAGTGAGCCACGGCGCCGGCCCCCAGGTAGATTTTCACCTAACTAGGATATGGAAGAATGTGAAACTATCTCTGGTAGTGGACTCTCACATCCAAATCATTCAAAAATCCTGACATGAGATCTAATCATTGGGTCAAATTGTTTTCTTTCTGTCTGCTCTTATGTTAAGATCCTTCTGGAAAACAAGACTGCTGTGTGGACAGTGGTAACTGTGTGGGTGCACAAACTGGACAGCCGGCCTCAAAAGGGTCTCCCTCCCAATTGGACCCACAGCTGGCTCGATCATCAAGTTCGTGATAAGTTTATCTCGCACTTGTGTTAGTGGATGAGGGGCGCAGACAGTGCAAGACATATCTGTGCCACTGTTCCTTGAGACCCTGTGTGCTGGCAGTCATGGTAAAGCCACAGATTCAGTTTCATTGGGCGCAGGCACAGGAGTCCACCAAGACCGAAGCCAGGCATGGCCAGCGTGTAATTCAATGAGTGAGCGAGCCGGGCACCGCCAGCCCTGTGGATCCAGACCACACCGGGCTTTTTCCACAAGCAGACAAGAAGCAACAGCACTCTCAGAAAGGTAGACGGCAGCGGCAGGAATCCTCTCGGTGCCTTTCTTAATTTTCCGAATCAGCCAATCACTCATGAACCAACGACGGCGCAGAGAAAAGGGAAAGACGGCAACGCATTCTGTTCCGACCACGTATAACGAACGTATTTCAGATGTTCTTACAGCAACAGACGACGCCGTATCCCAAGCCACCATGCAGAACAACATGAGACTGCTCATCTTTTGTCATTCTGATCCAGAGTGTGGATGCTCTGGCCTGCTTCAACACCCCACACCAGCCGGCAGGAGCCAGAAAGAAACCAGCACCCCACCTGCTTATCTCCACTCAGAGTCAGGACTGAGGAACAAGGACAGAAGCCTCGGCCATTCTAGCTCCCTGCCTGAAAGCAGAAAAAACTCCAGTTTACCCCTTACCCCTCCCCGCCTTCTTTCAAGAGGCCAGCCAGCCCCAAGCCCTGTACTGGTCTCTACACCCCATTCTTTTTCAGGTTTGAAAGTCCATGAAAAACCTGGAAAAACCTATATGAAGAAACTTGCCTCTGCCTACTGGTCCCCGCAATTTCATACTCTTAGGCCACCCCAAGATATATAAGACCCAGCCCCCTAGAGGACTGAGCCCTCTGCCATGCATTCAGTCTGTAAGCATAAGAGCAGTTGGCCACCATTGTGAATAAATTCATTTCGGCTGTGAGTTCATATACGGTCTCCTCTCTGTCCTTCTCCCCTTTTCCTTATACTACCTGTGGGGAGCAGCCCGGACTGGACTGAGTTACTGGAATTAAGACTTATTCTATGCATCTGCTCTCCCACAATATGGCGCTGGGAGAGAAGTAAACAGCTTCCGCACAGCTGCCTCCAGTTCAACTAATAAACTGTAGGACTTGCTCCTGATTGGAGGAGAGCAGCGTACTCGGCGTGTGGGCAGCCGAGTTGGGATTGGTGGAGGAGGACTATAAAGGAGGAGAGAGACGGCATGCACCGGGAACATCTAAGGGGAACATCTAAGGGGAACACCTGTGCAGCCCCCAGAGAGCCGGCCGGCGGTGTGCCGCTCCCCTGCGGAAGTGGGGAATGTGGCAAGGGGAACCGCCCTTCCACGGAGGTGGAAGGGTCGGTAGCCAACCCGGGAAGAACCAGCAGCAAACCCGGGGAGGACCGAGCAGACGAAAGAACAGCGCAGGGTCCTGTGTCGTTCCTCCACGAAGACGGGGAGTGACACTACCTATGAGATGATGGCTTTTTTTTTTTTTTTGGACAGGCAGAGTGGACAATGAGAGAGAGACAGACAGAGAGAAAGGTCTTCCTTTGCCGTTGGTTCACCCTCCAATGGCCGCCGCGTCCGGCGCACTGCACTGATCCGAAGGCAGGAGCCAGGTGCTTATCCTGGTCTCCCATACAGGTGCAGGGCCCAAGGATTTGGGCCATCCTCCACTGCACTCCCTGGCCACAGCAGAGAGCTGGCCTGGAAGAGGGGCAACTGGGACAGGATCCGGTGCCCCGACCAGGACTAGAACCTGGTGTGCTGGCGCCGCAAGGCGGAGGATTAGCCTAGTGAGCCGCGGCGCCGGCCGAGATGATGGCTTTTATATCTGCATTTAAAACTGGCATTGTATGGGGCAGATGTCTGGCATAGCAGTTAAGACCTCACTTGACACACCCACATCCCATAGAGGAGTAGCTGGGAGCAAGTCCCAGCTCCGTTCTCAAGTCCAGTTTACTGGTAATGTGCACAAGGCAGCCGTGGGTGATGGCTCAAAGAGTTGTGGGAGATACACCCTGGGCTCCAGCCTGGCCCAGCTCCAGCTGTTGAGGGCAACTGGAGAGTGAACTAGTAGACAAGAGATCTGCCTTTCTGTCTTTCAATTAAATAAAAAATACAAAATGAGAGAACATAAAGCCTAGCATTGCAGAATATAAAGAATGGTAAAAGCCATGCTAATGATTAAATTTTAAATTATTTTCTTTTTTTAGAAAGACTTTAAATGAGTAATCATAAAAATATGAGAGTGAGCATAGAAAAAGGTGTGCTTTAGATTTCGATGACTTTAGTGCACTCCTTGCTTGCTCTTTTGAACAAGAAAACCTGCATTTTCATTGCACACTAGAACCCATACAAGAGCAGCTGGACTTGAAAGAAGAGAAACATTTTGAGTTATTAGGAAAAAGGGTTATTCCCAGAAATAAATGTAAGTTCATTCTAGATCCTCATGTAAGTGCCCGAACCAAAATCCAGCCAGTCACGGCCAGCTACAGGTGTGCAGGCTCAGAAACTTCCAGATGCCCGATTCTCCAGAATATGAGAAAAATAAAATAGTTCCCTTAATTGAGTAAGTTTTGAGGCAATTCGTTAAGCAGCTCAAATAACCAACATGCCATCTTCATGAACTTGAAGAGAACAGGGACAAAGTCCTGGCTAAAGTCCTGTGCAAAATGATCCCTACCGCTTCCACCTTGTGGGGAGCAACTCGGACTAGACTGTTACTGGAATTAAGACTTATTCTATGCATCTGCTCTCCCACAATATGGCGCTGGGAGAGGAGGAAACAGCTTCTACACAGCTGCCTCCAGTTCAACCAATAAACAGCAGGACCTGCTCCTGATTGGAGGAGAGCAGCATACTCGGCGTGTGGGTAGCAGAGTTGGGATTGGTGGAAGAGGACTATAAAGGAGGAGAGAGACGGCATGCACCAGGAACATCTAAGGGGAACATCTATCTGAAGGAACACCTGTGCAGCCCCCGAGAGAGCCGGCCGGCGGTGTGCCGCTCCCCCGCAGAAGTGGGGAAAGTGGCCAGGGGGAACCGCCCTTCCACGGAGGTGGAAGGGTCGGTAGCCAACCCGGGAAGAACCAGCAGCAAACCCGGGGAGGGCCGAGCAGACAAAAGAACAGTGCAGGGTCCTGTGTTGTTCCTCTGCGAAGAGGGGGAGCGACACACCTAAATACACACATGGAAATTCACATGAACAAGTAAGTCATCAGGAGGATTATTTTCCTAAAAATGTATCATGGGATTCAAAACACAAGTTATATTATGAATCAGATTTTTAAAAGAAATTTCATAGGCTTACACAGTTAAAGACATGTTGGAATCACTAAGATAATTTTTCTCCATGAGAATGCTTAAGGTATGATTCACAAGAGACACATGTCATTCTTTCACTGCCAGTTATTACATGGCTGGTTTGAGAAAGTAACAAAAATTCAACACAGGACATTTCCCCCAAGAGCTGTTGCTTATTACCAAACAATTTCGTAATCATAGTAGAAGACTGAATTGTTTTCTCCTTTCAATGAGGTGTGTGCATTCCTTGTTTAAAATCAAAGAAAAGCACACATATTTAAAATCTACTCTGTACGGCCGGTGCCGTGGCTCAATAGGCTAATCCTCTGCCTTGCGGCGCCGGCACACCGGGTTCTAGTCCCGGTCAGGGCGCCGGATTCTGTCCCGGTTGCCCCTCTTCCAGGCCAGCTCTCTGCTGTGGCCAGGGAGTGCAGTGGAGGATGTCCCAAGTGCTTAGGCCCTGCACCCCATGGGAGACCAGGAGAAGCACCTGGCTCCTGCCTTCAGATCATTGTGGTGCGCCGGCCACAGCGGCCATTGGAGGGTGAACCAACGGCAAAGGAAGACCTTTCTCTCTGTCTCTCTCACTGTCCACTTTGTCAAAAAAATTTAAAAATAAGAAAAAAAATCTACTCTGTAGTAATCAGTAAAACACTGATCCATGGTTATCACCGTGTAATTCGGGGCAGCACAATAGAGAAAGTGGAAATGTACAAGGAACTGCCTACTTGACCATGACCGTATTCCATGTCCTAACTTGTAGGCAACCACACACCATAGACGTTAAGTGTGTAATCTCTTTACCTGCTTCCAACAAGCAGAGCTTTCCACCTTATTTATCAAAATAGTTCTTTCAGGCTACACAGGAAGAGATAAAATAAAACTTGAAGAGCAACTGCAGCCTAAGCTGATGGGGACTGCAGCTGTGAGAGCTTGTCTTATTGGTACAATTCCCTGTTTCCAAACCAGAGCTTCTTCTAGGCTGACTGCTCCAACACTGTGTAGTGCACCGCCTTGAGTTCCTTTGCTTTCTGGTAACTCCTGAAATAAACCTCCCTCCCTCTCCCTCCCTCTCCCTCCACTATGTCTCAGGACTGTACCATGTGAGAAGCAGACATGACAGGGATTCTTCAGGTGACTGTTTTCCAAACTCTGTCTCTGGAAAGCTGCAGTTTTTCATGGGTTCCAAAACTTCTGTGTTAGTAACTATTGCTAAATATATTTCACCTATTTTTGAAAGATAAACATTAAAGATCCAGAATGACTAAACTGAAAACCTAAAGATCTATGGTGCTGGCACTGTGGCGCAACGGGTTAATGCCCTGGCCTGAAGCGCTGGCATCCCATATGGACACCGGTTTGAGATTCAGCTGCTCCACTTCCAATCCAGCTCTCTGCTGTGGCCTGGGAAAGCAGTAGAAGATGGCCCAAGTCCTTGGGCCCCTGCACCCGTGCAGTAGACCCAGAAGAAGCTCCTGGCTCTTGGCCTCGGATTGGCACAGCTCCGGCTGTTGAAGCCAACAGGGGAGTAAACCAGCAGATAGAAGACCTCTATCTCTCTCTGTCTCCCTCTCTCTCCTTCTCTGTCTCTCTGTCCCTCTTGTCTGCCTCTCCTCTCTCTGTGTAACTCTTTCAAATAAATAAATAAATCTTAAAAAAACCCAAAGATCTGAAAGACATCTCATGAAAGAAGATATGTAGAGAATCGAGCAGATGAAATGGCATTCAACCTGATATATACATTTAGAGTGTTGCCAACAGCAACAATGAGATGAAAAGGCACACTCATTAGAATTACTGAAACCCGAAACATTACACCAGTGTGAAATTTCTGATGTGCAAAGGAACTGAGTTAGTAAAGCACAAAGGCACTGAGGCTTCACTAACTCTAAGAAGCTAACAGCAAAAGGCTACACACAGCACACTTCAACTACATGACGTTCTGGAAACGGCAGACCAGCGAGACATTGAGTTGATTGTTGCCAGGGTCTGCGGGGAGCGAGGGTGAGCAGGTGGAGCACGGAAGATGTTTAGGGCAGTGGAAAACACGCACAGAGTGGATGCCCAGCATTGCGTATTTCTCCAAACTTACGGAATGTCTGACGCCATCAGTGTGCCTGCATGTGAGCTGTGGACGGGCAGGGTGCTGATGGATCCACGCAGGTTCACAGACAGCAGCGAGGATACCACTCTGACCCGGGATGGTGACAGCAGGGGAGGCTGCACAGGCAGGCGCGTAGGGAATCCATAGGAACTCTGCTTCAGACTCAGTTCTGCTGCCAATCTCAAACTTTCCTGAAAACAACGTAATTCAATAAAAAAAGAGGAGCACCAACATGCACCTCCGGCTAACAGGGTTGTTTATTTTAGGCAAACAGTAGACTGAGGTGCGAGCCCTTCTGAGGTCTTTTCCTTGCTGATCACTGCGCCAGGGCCTCCTCCTGCAGATGGTGGGACAGGTGCTTCTTCTTGTCATGCAGAGTCACCCCAAACAGCGGGTCCTCAGACGGCTGCCTCTCCATCCACTCGGGCAAGGCACTCGGGAAGCAGATGTTCATTCTATGCAGTGCTTGTTTAATTGTTAAATTATCATGGCATCAACTCGAAGAGACTCAAACTGTGGAAAATCTAAAAGTATTTTTTAAATAGATTTTGGTGTCATAGACTTTCTTTAACGTTGTTAAGTTTAATAATAATACTTACATTAGTGATTTCCTTTCATTCTGTTTACTGTTGGCTTAGTTTGTTCAGTTAGTGATTTGACATTTTTCTTCCTTTCTAATAAAAACATCTGATGTTAAGAGTTTTTTTTTTTCCTTCTAAGAATAGGGTTTTACTAACATCCCCCAAGTTCTGAATCTGTCATTGTCAAGTTCAATTTTTTTAAACGTGCCTCGAATCTTCCTATTTAAGTAATGAGTTGTGGAGAAATGCTTGCCTAATTTCCTAATATGTGGGAATTTTATAATTACATCTCATTTGCTGCTTTCTGGCCTCCTTTCATCATGACCTAAGAATACACTTTTATCATTTCCTTCTTGTAAATACACCAAGGCTGTTCTGTGCCCCCAAGCATGGGTGTCACAGGCAATGTTCCATGTTAACTTGAGAAAAATGCTTACTGCACAGAACGTTCTAGAACGCCAAGCCCTGTACCCCATGCTGTTGGACAGTGATGCTCAGGTGGTATTTTCTATTCTTTCTTGCTTCTGCACTTTTTCCATCATATTTCTAGAAAGGAGTGTGTATCTCCAACTACAGGAGGTAACTGTACATAGTATGTATCTCTGACTATAATTGGGGCTTTGTAATTCTCCCCTTTCATTTCTGCCAGTTTTATGTCATGTAGCTTGATAATCATTAACAGTTGGTGATGGAACTGCCAAGCTAAGCAGGATTGTGTGTCTTAGAGAATTCACACAACAGGACCCTTTACACCAACATTATTCTGTGTTCTAAAATCTGTGTGTCTAATATTAACACTGCTTCTTCAGATTTATTTTGTTGCCTGCACCGTGGCTCACTTGGCTAATCCTCCACTTGCGGCACTGGCACACCGGGTTCTAGTCCCGGTTGGGGCGCCGGATTCTGTCCTGGTTGCTCCTCTTCCAGGCCAGCTCTCTGCTCTGGCCCAGGAGTGCAGTGGAGGATGGCCCGGGTCCTTGGGCCCTGCACCTGCATGGGAGACCAGGAGGAAGCACCGGGCTCCTGGCTTTGGATTGGCGCAGCTCCGGCCGTAGCGGCCATTTGGGGAGTGAACCAACGGAAGGATGACCTTTCTCTCTGTCTCTCTCTCACTGTCTAACTCTGTCAAAAAAAAATGATTTTTTTGTTTAGTGTTTTCTTAGTATACTCTTAACATTTCCAGCCTTACACTTTCAACCCATCAGTGTCTTCATACTCAAGTGTGTCATATTATGTAGTTGAATTCTGCTTTATTACCCAATTTTTTCTAAATTTGTAACTGCAGTACTTACTCCTTTTTTTAACATTATTGATTTAAGTAGATTTAATGACTCATCTAGCTTTTAACGTTTGTTCAAGAGGCCGGCGCCGCGGCTCACTAGGCTAATCCTCCGCCTAGGGGCTCCGGCACACCGGGTTCTAGTCCCGGTCGGGGCGCCAGATTCTGTCCTGGTTGCCCATCTTCCAGGCCAGCTCTCTGCTGTGGCCAGGGAGTGCAGTGGAGGATGGCCCAAGTGCTTGGGCCCTGCACCCCATGGGAGACCAGGATAAGCACCTGGCTCCTGCCATCGGATCAGCGCGGTGCGCTGGCCGCAGCAGCCATTGGAGGGTGAACCAACGGCAAAGAAAAACCTTTCTCTCTGTCTCTCTCTCTCTCACTGTCCACTCTGCCTGTCAAAAAAAAAAAGTTTGTTCAATAAATTTTTTTATTTTAATTTTTATTAATATAAAGAAAACAGATTTCATGTTTTTCCTCTCTTTGTCTCTCCCTCTGTCTCTGTCTCTTCCTCTCTATAACTCTCTCAGATAAACACATCTTAAAAATAGAATTTTCTTTCCACCAAGGAGATGGGCAGGACACAGGGGAGTTTTGTGGTAATCATGCCAGATGCTATGGACTCTTCATCGTGACAGCCCCAGAAGGGAAGTTTTCTTAGGATCCTCACAACCT